TTGTTCTCTGGCCCCGTTTCCTCATAAAATGGGTGTGCTGTCTAGGCCACAGTTGACCCTTAGTAAACATGTGTTAGATGAACAGATAAGAGGATTGTTCTGGGATCTCTCAAACTCTTTTTAGCCACAGCATCCTAATGAGGGGAGAGAGCGCAGGCTCTGGGTCCCTCTGCCTGGGTGTGAGTCCATCTGCTCCAATGACCAGCTGTTCAAACGTGGGCAACGCAGCTCTCGGGGCCTCAGTTTCTTCCCCTGTAAAATGGAGCTAACAAATAGTGTTGTTACCGTAAGGTTTAAATAGGGGAGGACCACACAATTTGTCAGCCAAACTGGGACACTTTGAGAGTGAAGGGGGCATTGCTAATAATTAGGCTTGGACAACAGGTATAAGCCAGGACCGTCCCAGGCAAACCAGGATGTGTGGTGGCCTGAGGTTTCAGTGAGGTCACGCCTGATACATAGCAAACATTCGGCACATCAACTCTGATTGTGGCAGTGCTCAGCCGGTGTATGCAGAAGGCCAGTATAGAAAGTAGCTCAGAGTGGAGCTGCTCTGCCAGAGGAGGGCTGGGGGACTCCCCTCCCACCACCTCTGGGCCCTGGAGGCCCCACAGACCCTGGAACTATGCAGTACACAGTGTGAAACCACTGAGGTTCCTTCCCATCTCCTGGCCTGTGATTTCCCTACCTGCTGCCTCCTCCCCAGTGTTGCCAGGTGTTGCCAGGTGACAGCACAGATCCAAGTGGTCCCAGCTCCATCTCACCCCCACCACGTGGAGCCCCCATCCTGACCCTGAATTTCCCATCAGTCCCTTGACTGCACAGAATTCAGAATAGAAGGCCGGCTGCCCCCGTAGGCTGTGTGGGCCGTGGATTTCTCTCTCCCGAGCCCCCCTTTGTGTATGGCATGCTTATATGCATGGGGGTAGGCATGGACCCCCCTTACAACTCCCTGAGAAGAGATTTTTCCTACTCGATTGATGGGGAAACTGAGGCAGGGTGGTTGAATGAACTGTCCAAGATGGCACAGCAGCTGGAACTGGGGGCTCCTTCCTGAACTCTCCCCCTACCCCTCGCCCCAGAGATGGGGAAGGAGCCCAGATGGCAGTAATGTGGAGAGAACTGGGTGGGTTATTGCCCCAGCCTACGTGGACTAAGTGCCCCAGGAAGGGATCCAGGGTGGGAGGTGGGGAGGGGGGATGTGTGTGAGGCCCCAGGCTGGGGAGAACTGGCCACCTAGGGGATTAGGCTGGGTATTGGGTACTGGCGGGATTGAATAAAAGTCCTTCAGAGCCTCTGGAGCTCTTTTCAAGGCTGGCTCCACGCCGTGCCCATCTCTCCTCCACTCAGCGTCTCTTCTCAGCTGAATGTGGACTTGGCCAGCCCCCCACCACGTGGCCAGCCCCCCCCATGCTGGGCTCCTTTCAGGAAGCAGCTCAGGATGCTCCCTAGCGCCGTGCTCCCTGCTGGGCTCCCCCAGAGCCTGTTCACAGCCCACACTGCTCCAGCTGCCCCTACCACCCCAGACCAGCCTGAGACCTCATCCTGAGTGCCCCGCTAAAGTGGGCGAATCCAGGGCACGGAGTACGTGGGCGGGGGGCAGGGGAGCTTCAGGACCTTCAGCACATTGCTGACGAGGCGATTGCATTTACAGGGCTTGTTTTCCGGGGCTCCAAACAAACCACAGGGCTGGTGTGATCTCATCCCCCTTAGCGGGCTGTGCTGGAGACCAAAGGGTAGAGGTGTGCCCAGAGAGGGTCAGCCACGCTTCCCTGACAGGGAGGTGCGCCCAGCTTTGAGGGAGCTTTGCCCACTTGAATTGCGCAGGCAAGTGGAGCAGGTTGCGGAGCCCCTGGGCCTGGTGAGCTGCCAGGCTGCCTTTGCTCCGGCCCACCACTCAGCCCTCCTGTAAGTGAGATCACACCAACCCTGGTGAGTGGCCGAGGCAAGACTGCGTTAGCCCTGCCCTGGCTCCCCCTCAGCTTCCTTCTGGGGCAGTGGGGCCCACCTCTCTCCTGCCTTCGGGACACACGCTGTCTCTGCGTCTCCTTCTCCCTTTGTCTCCCTCTCTCTGTCCCTCACCCCCATGCCCCGTGGCCACAGTCAGTGCCTGCCCTTGCCCTCCTCTCCCCAGGTGTTGGGGCAGGGGTGGAAAGGTGTCCTGTGTACACTCGTGGAGCCCATGCAGCCGCCATCCCTGCCTCTCCCTCCCCGCAGTCATCCTCAGGCATCCCTGGGGCCTCGTTATTGGGGTAGCCATGACCCCCCATTGTCTGGCCTGTCTGGCCCTGCCATGAAAGGTAGAGTTTTGGCAGAGAATGAGACTCGGCCTGATTCCAGCTTGTTCTCTGCAGTCTGGAGCCTGTCCTGTGCTGGGGCAGGGCAGGCAGGCCCTGGTGAGGGTGGGGGCTGGAGGAGTCACCAGGGCTACAACAGGGAGCCCGGTAGGGGGAGGGAGGGAGGGGAGGAGAGCAGGTGGTTCTTTGTCTGGAGCCTGACCCAGCACCCCCCACCCCACCCCCATCCCAGCCTTCCCAAGCCTGTGAGGCAGCCCCTGGGAGGAGATTGGTCCCTGCAAAGCCACTGGGCTCCCTCCCCCAGCTGAGGCTGGAGAGAGCCCTGCCCCGCTGCAGTGCCTCCTGTAGAGCTTCCCAGGACTCAACCGCCACCCCAACCCCTACCCCTATTTGCCCACTCAGCACAGGAGGGCCACGTGGGACCTGAGTCCCTGCTGTGATGGAGTGGGAGTTGGTACAGGTGGCTTGCAGGGATGGGGGCGTCCCAGGCACCAAGGAAGGACACCCTCCATGGCCGCCATTGCTACTTTCCCTGTCTAGGCTTCAGTTCCCTAATCAAGCAATAAGGAGGTCAGAACTGGTGCTGTTTGAGGCTCTTTCCTGCTTTAAAAATCTGTTTGGTATAGGACTGTGAAACTGCTGGAGCCCCTGCCTCTCCTGGGTCAGCACTTAACTGCTTCTGTCCATAAATTCTGCTTCTGAGCAGAAGAGCAGCCCCTGGAGGCTGAAGGTTGGTGGCCGCCAGCCGTGGTTTAGAGGCAACGCTCAGCTGCCTGGATGTGGGGTCCTGGCGCTGCCACTTGCTGGGCAAGTCGTCTACCCGCTCTGTGCTAACTTTTCTGTGCCCCTATTTCCTCCTCTGCACTACGGGGGTATTAATAGGATCTGCTACATAAGGTTGTCATAGGGGTCCAGGGAACTATATACATAAAGTGCTTAGAACAGTATTTGGCCCCATGAAAACACTCAGCAAATATAGGTGTTTCTATTCTTAAAGATCTTTACGGAGTAGCAAGCAGGTAGGTGAGTTTCCTGAAATACTTGATGGTGTGAACCAATTAGGTGTCATCCCTGAAACCTGGTATTTTGGCTGGAAGGTAGGGGGATATGCAGATTTTAAAGCCAGTGCGGCGGTGGCACATGACTGTACTCCCAGCTGCTCTAGAGGCTGAGGCGGGAAGATCACTTGAGCCCAGGAGTTCGAGGCTGCAATGAGCTTTAATCGTACCATTGCACTTCAGCCTGGGCGACCTTGTCTCTAAAATAAAGTTTAAAAAATAATAAAATAGGCCTCATTACAGATGTCCTCTCTTGGTGGATTCTGGGGAGAACTGGAATATTCTGTGACTGGGACTCCTGACTGTTGCTCTTGGATTGTCTTAGAAAGGCTGCACTGTCCTAAAATATTCTTCATTGACCTTATCTAGAAAAAGGGAAAACATGGGTTTGGTCGTCCGGACCTTGTCTTGCACACACGTCCCCAGTGTCTGTTTGCCCTTTAAAATCTAAGCAGCTCACAGCAGCATGTCCAGCCTGCGGCAGTCTTGCATGGGGAAGCACTCTGTGGACAGGAGAGCTCCTGGCGCCCACGAGAGGTGGTCAGTGTAATTTCCTAGCAGGGTGTGTGTGTTGGGGGGGATTGGGTGGGCTCCACGAGGAAAGATGGACAGCAGGTTCAGGGAGAGGTGAATGTGGTCCTGCCCTTCCTAACCGAGCAGATGAAGCTTTTCATGGAAGATCAGCGCCCGTCTGTTCCTCTGAACGCCCACTATTTATTCATCTGACACGTCTTTGCTGAGTGCCCATAAGGCCAGGCTCTGTGCTCAGCACGGGGCGGGGGGGTGTAAAGTTGCGATACCAGCCTGCGAGGAGCCAGGGAGGGGCCGGCGTGGGCCAGAGCCGGAGGTCTGTCCAAAGTGCAGGAGGTGAGGCGAGAACAGGCCACATCTGAGGGGAGCCTCCCGAGAAGGGGACAGCTGAGTGGTCAGGAAGGGCGAGTGGGAGTCTCCCAGGGAGCCAAGGGAAGAGAGGGATTCCTAGGCCAGGGAGCCACGTGTGCAAAGCCTCACAAGACAAAAGAGCATGGTGTAAAACGCAGGCACACATGCACGCACGCATACACAAAAACAAAACAAAACCAGCCGAGCAGAGCGTCTTTGGGGGCCCTGCCAGCCCTGCCAGTGGTGTGGGTGTGGGAGGGGCCGGCGGCCACCTGTAGAAGGACTTGGGTACTCGCAAGGCTGTGCCCCCGCCCTGGCCCTCAAGCAGCCCCTCTGGAGTCCCTCCCGCCCAGCCCCCTTCGTCTTTGCCTGTCACCCCAGAAGGTCTGCTGAAATTTCCTCTTCCTGCTGTCCTCTCCCCCGTCCCAGATCCCGGAAGTCCCTGGTCTCCCTCCTCTCATCGCCTCTTCATTCCTGCTTTCCTCTCCACCATCAGCAGGAAGGGCTTGGGGGGGGCGATTTACCCTCAGCCTCAGCTTCCTCGTCCACGCGAGGTGCTGGATGGGGTGACCCCGAAGGTCTGCGGGGCCCCCTAGGATTGTACGTGGTTGTCTGTGCCCCATTTGGGTATTTCCCAGGGGGCCTTGCAAACCTCTCAGACTCCGCCTGGGTCTCTGCTGGCAGAGGGCTGGGGACAGAGCCTGTGGTGGAGGAGACGGGCGGTGGCCCACTCACCCCGCTGCTGCCTGTGCTTCTCCCTCAGTTCGACCCCGGGAACACGGGCTACATCAGCACAGGCACGTTCCGCAGCCTCCTGGAGAGCCACAGTGCCAAGCTGGACCCGCACAAAAGGGAGGTGCTCCTGGCCCTCGCCGACAGCCACGCGGACGGGCAGATCTGCTACCAGGACTTTGTCAACCTGGTGAGCGCTCTGGGGCCCTTGCCGCTGGGCGGGCCTGTTTGGGGTTGTGGCTTAGACACATTAAAGGGATTGAGACAATTAAAGGGGTCTGTGGGGCTTCAGCAGATGAGGGGATGCTACCCAGGACCTGTTTTCTCTGTCTCTCAGGCTCTGCCTTCTGCAGTGTCAGCCCGTCCTCAAGGCAGCCCCTGGCAATCCCAGACCCTCCCACTGTGGCAGCCAAGTGGCTGCAGCTGTTCCAGCCCTCATGCCCTCAGGCCTCACCATGGAGAAACAGAGAGAGAGAGAGAGAGAGAGAGAGAGGCCTTTTTTTGGTGGTAGTTCCTGTACAAGGCCTGAGATTTTCTCCCTCCCGTTGGCCTAGCTTGGGTCACTGGATTGACTCAGACCAATCAGTGCCCCAGCCCTGGAGCTGAGCGTGGGGTCAGTTCCACCCAAATGAGCGGCTGGGAGGAGGAGGGTACTGCTGGCAGGAGAAGGAGCTGAGGAGTGAGTGCCGAGAGGCTCAGGCCAGCGCTCATCAGACTTCTCGATGACGCCCTGGGTTGTCGAAGAGCCTGGAGAAGGGAGGCCCGTGGATCCTGCCCAGTGGCCTGGTATCTTAGGGTGGGACTTCCTTGTCACTGAGAGTTAATGCCATGCCATTTGGGAGGCTCCTGTGCAGTGGGATTCAGTGGGGTTGAGCGGACAGTACTTCACCCACAGTGGGATGGATGTGACTTCCAGTGGAAGCTTCGTGAACGAGCAGGACTAATATAAGACCAAAAGTTTTCACTCGGTTTCCCTATTGGTGAAATGGAGCTGGTCACCTGGCTTCATGTCACCGGAGGGAACAAGAGTGAGATGACTTGTGTGAAGTGCCCCAGGCTCCTAGAATTCAAAGGCACCAGTGATGGGGGAGCCGGCACCACTCGAGCCTGTCACTGGGCCACGTGAGCGCTCTGATGTGGATGCCCAGGGTGTGGAGTTGTTTTCACAGCCTCTTGGCTGAGGGCCGGCCTTGGCACAGGGGTTGGCACAATTGCAGGGTGCTGCCACAGGGCTTTGGGAGGTGGAGGAATCTACTGCTGTTCAGAGTAGACCCAGGGAGCAGACCTCTTGGAGGGCAGGGGACAGAGCTGAGCTGATTTGGGGAGGTAGGGACAGTCAGGATTCATAGTATGGGCTGTGGAGGTGGCCCTGTGACCTGGAGCCCAGCAGTGCCACCAAAGGCCAGGCCATGGGTTTGAGACTGCACAGGCAGCCCCAGCGCTACTGTGTTTGCTGCGAGAAGATGCCCTGCTTAGTCTCGGGGCAGAGCGGGCCCCTCCGGGCCCAGGAGCGGCTTCTCTCCAGCAGGGATCAGTGGAGCCTGTGTGTGAGCTCAGGATAGCAAGTTACTCATTACTGTTGGGATTTCTCTGTTCAAGATCTGAGCTGGAGCAGCCGGCCGTTGTCTGTTTATATGAGCAGGGCTGTGCTGGAGACCAGATGGAGAAGGGGCTCACCAGGGAGCAAGCTCTGAGGAAGACAGAGAGCTCAGGGCCTGGAGTCAGGCAGACTCTGGTTCTCACTCAGACACCACCTCCTTCAGGAAGCCCTCCCTGACCACCTTGGGACCAGATTGGGCTCCCTCGTGTATACTCCTGCAACAGCCACTACTCTGAGCTACAATTGCTGGTTACCTGTCTGTCTTGAGCACCACTGTGTCCCCTGTGTCTGGTAATGCGCCTGACACTGAGCAGTTGCTCCGTAAACTATGGATGATGGGTGACGAGTGAGTAGATGGAAGTAAGATACAGTGAATACAAATACAGGCTCTGGAGCCTTACTGAGTTTGAACTTGGTGGGTTCCTAAAACTCTCTGTGCCTCAGTTTCCTAATCCAGTAGAATGGGATATTTATGGTCCTTACCTAACAGGTAGAATCAGGAGTATCAAATGAGCCAAAACATGTGAAGTGCTTAGAAGCATCCCTGATACACAGTAGGAGCTCAGCGAATGTTGCTTCTTATTAACTCCTGCGGAAGGAAGGGAGATACGGGCTTAGACCCGGTCTAAGGAACATGCTGCCTGGGAGCAGAGTCAGGGGCTCCCCCAGGCCCCAACTCTAACCTCCCCACCCCGTTTCTTGCACAGATGAGCAACAAGCGTTCCAACAGCTTCCGCCAGGCCATCCTGCAGGGCAACCGCAGGCTAAGCAGCAAGGCCCTGCTGGAGGAGAAGGGGCTGAGCCTCTCGCAGCGACTGATCCGCCACGTGGCCTATGAGACCCTGCCCCGGGAGATTGACCGCAAGTGGTACTACGACAGCTACACCTGCTGCCCTCCGCCCTGGTTCATGCTCACGGTCACACTGCTGGAGGCAAGGACTGGGGAGGTTAAGGGGCTGCTCAGCCTTGGGGAGGTGGGCAGGTGGGGGGGGAGCTGAGAAGGTGTCGGAGATTGTGAGGGAGGGGACATCCTTCTCCACCACAGGGTGATGGCTGAGGATCAGATAGCAGTTGTTTCCAAGTGTTGGTATAACCCTGGCCTGCAAAGAGATATTCCAAAGATTCTTACTTCAAGGAACACACGCTACAGTAGTATCCCCACATGACCACACCCGCCAGAACAACAGCAACAAAAACAATGTCGTAGGGTAGGGTCACTGATTTGGGGGCCTTAGGCAGACCAACTCATGAAAGCCAGTTTATTTTATTTCCTCCCCGAGTGGGTAACAGGGACCAGTCATTTGCTCTCCTGGGACTTTATTTTCGCACATGAAAATCTGGAGTCACCAGACCTGCCCTCCCTCTCCCAGGACACTCCATTTAAAATGAGAGAGAGAGAGAGAATGGCTATGGGTGCTTTCTGAACACAAAAGCATCACACAAATACATCTGGGAGGGAGTTTATGAGCTGGGAAGTATGGGCTTAACATTCTTAAAGCACATTCTCCCCTTAGGGAATCATCCAGACCTATTGTTATGCTAAGATTCTCCTGCTTATGCAACCGAATGCAAAGGTACCACTTGCTGTGTCAGTGCCCATTTGTGGTGAAACTGAATTCCTCTGGCTGTTCAATCCGAGGACCCGAGCCTTCCACCCGACTCCAGCTTCCACATAGATGCTTGGCTTCCCTTTGGTGTTTTATGATCTCGGCTGTTTCTCTTCCAAAGCCAGGGGCCTAATTACTGCCTCTGCATATGTTCTCGTAAAGTTCCTGCCTAATCAAACGGCAGGATTGTGAGGCTTCGTGGCATCCTTCTTTTCCTTCTATTTTTCTAAATCAGAATATCTGGTCTGCAGGCCAGAGCTCCTCTGTTTGTTGTTATGGCTTCATCCAAGTTCATGTTGTACTTGCGATTTTTTCTGAGATATTCTTGGACTCGTTCTTCAAGCACTTACTGTGTTGGTCTATTTATTAACTTCCATTTGAGGACCAATGGTAATGAGATGCCTTGGAAGCTGGATTTGCTGCCAGGCCACCCGCGTGGCGTGAGGTGGACAGAGCAGCTCCTCAGAGTGCCCAGGAGAGGACAGCTGCCAGGAGCCTAAGGCATTCCCAGGCTTAGCCCAGAATTAGCCCCACACTAATTATAGCTTTGTTCTCTCGAGTGTGTGCTGGACACGGGGCTGGCTCTTTGTGGACTTTATCACTTGTAAACCTCATGACCACTCTGGAAGTGTAGGCATTTGCACCCATTTCCAGCTGAGGAAACCGAGAACCAGAGAATTCAAATAATTTGCCGAAGATGGTTCAGAGGAACCAGATTTTATGTCCAGGTTATTTCAGATTTCCAGAAATCTCAGCTGTGTAAACGCGAACCACTCATCTAGAAGAAACTGGAAAATGCTCAGATAGCTGAAATAAATAACTATCTCAAAGCCCTTGTGCTAAGCTAAAGCCCAAGGCTTTTGTCTTACAAACAGTTCTAGTAACCTGGCTTTTTGATTCCATAACAGGTAGAAAATAGAAGGGTGCCAGGTGTGGTGGCTCACACCTGTAATCCTAGCGCTCTGGGAAGCTGAGGCGGGAGGATCACTTGAACCCAGGAATTTGAGGTTGTAGTGAGCTATGATGACACCACGGCACTCTGCCCAGGATGACAGTGAGACTGTGTCTCAAAAAAAGAAAAAAATATATAGAGACATAGTAGGAAGCCACTAGAAGGGGCTCAATACTGGCAATAAGAAGTAGCAGCTGGCTGGGCACGGTGGCTCACGCCTGCAATCCTAGCACTCTGGGAGGCCAAGGCGGGTGGATCGCTCAAGGTCAGGAGTTCGAGACCAGCCTGAGCAAGAGCGAGACCCCATCTCTACTAAAAATAGGAAGAAATTATCTGGACAACTAAAAATACATATATAGAAAAAATTAGCCGGGCATGGTAGCACATGCCTGTAGTCCCAGCTACTCGGGAGGCTGAGGCAGGAGGATCGCTTGAGCCCAGGAGTTTGAGGTTGCCGTGAGCTAGGCTGACGCCACGGTACTCTAGCCCGGGCAACAGAACCAGATTCTGTCTTAAAAAAAAAAAGTAGCAGCTGACAATCCAGTAGTGAGGGAAAAGACAAAAGAAAATTTAAAAGCAAGAAAATTTTTAAAAAACAAGAAAAAAATATTTAAGTAGACCCAAATCTTAAAGAAAGAACACAAGAATTTGGGGGTTGAGTGTACGAGCAAAAACCACATCATCCTGGGGTTGCTGGAGAAGACATCACTCTTATTGCCCAGATCGTTACCTGAGACATCCTCAAACAGCTATGCACATGCCTTGATTAAGAACACAGGGATGTAAATGGTACATTTTAGAAAGAGTTAAAATAAATACCCTTGTAGGACTTAAACAAGTATGCTTCAGTCATGTGCAAAATCAACTTATGCAGAGCGTCAGGAGGATGTGGAGAAATCGGAGCCCTTGTGCACTGTAGGTGGGAACGTAAAGTGGTGCAGCTGCTATGGAAAACAGTCTGGCGTTTCCTCAAAAAATTAAACACAGAATTACCATACGATCCAGCAATCCCACTTCTGAGTTTATACGAAAAGCATTGAAAGTAGGGACTAGAAGAGATATCTGCACATCCGTGTTCTGGCAGCATTTTTCACAAGAACCAAAAGGTAGAAGCAGCCAGGTGCAATGGCTCACGCCTGTAATTCTAGCACTTTGGGAAGCCGAGGTGGGAGCAGTTAGAGACCAGCCCAGGAGCTGGAGACCAGCCTGGGCAAGAGCGAGACCCCATCTCTATAAAAAAATGAAAAATTAGCTGGATGTGGTAGCATACGGCTATAGTCCCAGCTACTTGGGAGGCTGAGGTGGGAGGATTGCTTGAGCCCAGTAGTTTGAGGTTGCTGTGAGCTATGCACTCTAGCCTGGGCAACAAAGTGAGACCCCATCTCTAAAAAAAGAAAAATACCAAACAAATGGGTAAAAGCAACCTAAGTGCCCATCAGTGGATGAATGGATAAACAATGGAAGATCTTTCAGCCTTAAAAAAGAAGGGAATTCCGACACGTGATACAACATGGATGAACCTTGAAAACATGCTAAGTGAAATAAGCCAGTCACAAAAAGACAAATGTCGTATGATTCCACTTACATGAGGTACCTAGAGTAGTCAAATGCATGGAGACAGAAAGTAGGGTGGTGGCTTTCAGGGGCTGGAGGGAGCAGGGAATAGGGAGCTGTTTAATGGGTACAGGATTTCAGTTTTGTAAAGTGAGAAGTTCTGTGGATGAATGGCAGTAATGGCAGTACAACAACGTGTCACTTAATGCCATTGAACTATACACTTAAAACTGACTAAGATGTTAAATTTTATGTGTGTTTCACTAGTTTTTTTTTTTTTTATCAACCTATATGGAATGCATCATCCCTCTAGAGGGTGGGTGATTTATTACTGGAGTTAAAATGTAAAATCATCCAAACCCTTCCTACTTAGCACCGAGGACGTGTGGGCAGAGAGACCATGTGGCATGTTGTGACCATTTATCACAAAGTAATCAAACAGAAGTGGGAAAGGGATGGTTGAAGCTAAGCTGGGCGCTGGCTGTGGGGGTGTCCCTCATTCTCTGCGAAGGAAAGATGAAAACTTCCCGTGGGGACTCCCAGCGTTAGCACCAGAGGGAGGTTCCTGGGCAGTTCCGCACCTAGTAACAGGCCCTCGCCATCCTGTGCTTTCATCCAGGTTGCCTTTTTCCTCTACAATGGGGTGTCACTGGGTCAGTTTGTACTGCAGGTAACTCACCCACATTACCTGAAGAACTCACTGGTTTACCACCCGCAGCTCCGAGCGCAGGCTTGGCGCTACCTGACGTACATCTTCATGCATGCGGGGTGAGTACGTGTCTTCTTTTGTTCTCTCAAGAGTCCCTATAGAAAAATAAGTGGTCCAGATAGCCTGGATTGAAATCTATTTTTTAGTTTATTTTTATCTATTTGGGCACAAGATATGAGATGGGTGCTTGAAACTCATTTAATACCAAAACATATAAGTAAATTATTGAAAGTATGTGAGAAAGGGAAAATACAGGGAGGAAAATGCTAAAAGCCAGCAATGAGAACAGTATACACATACACAGCATCTGATTCTATGTACTTGATAGAGGTAGGTTGAGAATTTGTTCTGAGCTTCCTAGTGGCCAAAGCAAAAAGGGTCATGTGATCAGCCATCAGATTTATTGTCCATAACTATGAGTGTCAGTGCCCCTATAAGTGAAATAAAAGCCTAATTTATTGAAACCACCTTCTCCCAAGGTGGTCTCCATATGTGGTGAGGGTCTTCTTGAGGAACTCTGGCAATGATTATAGTTTCCATTTACAGAGCCTGTAGCCTCTTTTGGGGCTGGAGCACGATCTGTTCTCACTGGTGCCTCCCACTTCATGATAAGGACTTACAGCTGGCCAGGCGACCACGCAGTTCCAAGTCCGTTGAGGAGCAGAGATCTTGGCGGGAGACTGTTTTGATATAGCAGAAGCACTGAGTTGAAAGTCCTTTTCCAGTCTCCCCACAGAAGTGAGGGAGCTCACTATTAGCCTGGAAGAACCCTGAGGATGCCTGATCCTTGGGCAGGAAATGGGAAGGGGATCACTCTGGCCCCCATGGCTCCATCATGTCTGTTCCTCAGCAGAAAGACTCCCCAAGAAGGAGTTGAACTGTGACCTCCCTTCCTGCTGAGCCTCTATAGCGGCACAGGAGCCAATCTCTAATTGGCTGCACCTACTGGGGAGGGGGCCTTCCGGTGAGGAGACACCTCAGTAGTGGCCAATGAATGACTCCGCTCTGGGCCAAAGGGGGCCATACAGGTTGTTGACCTTGTCTGCTCGTCCCAGGCTTTGATCTCACAGGGCTAAGGAACAGAGGGAAGGACGGGTGTCATGCTTCTGTCATCTCACGAGCTGAGGTCTGGAGACACCAGAAACCAGGGGCTTCCCTGTGCAGGCTGCCCGTGGGTCAGGACTACGCACCTTCTATCCAGGACTGCTCTCTGGCCTCCAGAGAATAGCCAAAGCCTCCAGAGCCTCTTTGCTCCATTCCCTGCCTCCTAGAGCTGAAGCAGCGTGCCCGCAGTGGCCAGGACAGATGCCCTCAACTGTGGCTTTGGGCCCTTCTCCGGCAGTTGCTTCTGGTGGAGCAGTGCCAGGAAGAGCCCTGGGAGGATTCTCCACTCTGGATTTTGAGGGAGGGGGCTCTTGGCTAGAGCAACAGAGCTAGGCACAGCAGTGGACAGGAGATGGGGACAGCTGCCCAGCATCAAGGGAGGTCCCAGCAAGGTCCCCATCCTCAGAGACACACTGTGGGCCGGGGGACCCAGAACTCAGTGTGGTAGAGAAGAGCTCGGATGAGGAGTCGGGAGCCCTGGCCTCTACTCTCAGGTTCCAAAGCTGTTAACCAGGGCGTGGGACCAGGAAACCTCTACGGCCTTTCTGACTGTGAGTCTGACACTATCCCCCAGCTCCTTTATGGTGAAGTTTTCTGCCATTTCTAATCTCTGTAGAATCCGTTAGCTGGCACCGTCAGAGGAGGGTAGATGATTCCAGCACGGCGGGAAGTTAGGACACAGACCAACCTGTCTGAACTGCCTCTCAGGTGCCCTCCCAAGTAAGCAGGTGCCCACGTGTTGCCCATGCATTCTCTGCATAGCACAGCTGGGCCTCCGGGCAGGGCCGCCCACAGACCGGGAGCAAGGCTGTGACCCAGGCAGGCCAGGGCCCAGACCCCTTCTTACGGACTCTGTTATTCTCTAACTTTAACCATCCGCAGGGAGCTGTCCAGCTGTCCCAGTGCTGTAGGGTCAGTTTAAGTGAGATAACAGGTGTTAAAGTGTTTTGTAAACTTGAAAGCACCACATTGATTTAGTAATCATAATATTACGGTTTCTCTGATAACGTACGCACTCAGCCAGACACCCCACACGCTCAGCTGCGAGATCTGCTCGCGGGTGTTTAGTCGTGTACAGAGGAGGCATTCACAGGGTGCAAAAACCTGGGCTCCCATCTCCCAATCCTGAGAGTCTGGGAGCAGAACAGGTCCCTTCTCACACCAGAAAGGAGACTCTCCTATGAGACTTTAAGGGAAAACTTTGAATTATTAAGTTACAAGAGATATCTTTAATGTTTGCCCTTGTTTTGAGAACATCTTTCTCTTTAAATATCAGCAGCCTTACGAACGGGGAGCCAGAGCCACCGCATGGCCTGGTGAATGGAACAGGTTGGGCGGATTGGAGACCCGGGCTGTGGTCCTAGCCTGGCCACTCACCAGCTGTGTGACTTTAAGCCAGTCACTGCCCATCTCTGAGCCTTGGTTTCTTATGTGTTCACCAATGGAGTTTCTGGATCTTGACTGTGGTTAGTTTTGTTCACTGCTGGATGCCTGGCATCTCCGGGGATCCAGGCGTTTGTTGTATGAATGAATGGACGAGTGAGGGTGGTCTCTCTGTCGCAGGATAGAACACCTGGGACTCAACGTGGTGCTGCAGCTGCTGGTGGGGGTGCCCCTGGAAATGGTGCATGGAGCTACCCGAATCGGGCTTGTCTATGTGGCCGGCGTTGTGGCAGGTAGGCAGGTAGGCCCCGTGTCCACAGGGGTATAGCTCCCCAGGGTGGGCTGGGAGACCCCGCGGGGTGGGGCAAGCCCCAGGCTTCCAGGGCACACAGAGGAGCCTCATCTCAAGGCTGACTACTAGGGCTGTCCTCCAGGGGACTGCGACCAGAGGTGGGGTGTGTGATGGGACAGGGGAGGGGAGTGCTGGATTTGGACCAGGCCGACTGACCAAGGCTCAGTCTTCGCCCCGCCTTGTTGCAGCTGTGTGAGCTTGGGAACGTCCGCAACCTCTCTTGACCCCATTAAGCCTTAGGAAGGAACTGATGATATCTGCTCGTGGGGTTTCCAGGAGGGTAGAACCAGGCAACAGTGGGAACAACAGTGTCAGGTAAACTGTGCAAAGGCACAGTGAGATCCCCATAGGGGAACCCAGCCAGGACAGTACCTGCACCCAAAGGGAGATCCCGCCTCGACCCAGACCAGCCACGGTCCCCTTACATGACCCACCGCTGACAGGAGAGCCTGGCCTAAGACATAGTGAGCGCTCTCTCCATCTGAAGGAGTCCAGGGCCTCCAGCTGACTCAGCATACCTGTGGCTGTGGCAGGTGACCATTGCCACGTGGCCAGTGGCCAGGGTGACTTCCACAGAGCCTTCCACCTCTGCCTCTCCCCAAGCGGGAGGCGAGGTGGCAGAGTGGGCTGGGGAGAGCAGGGTGGGTTTCTGCAGGAAAAGTCTCCCCAGCCAGGCTACTGAGCGTAGGATCTCCCTCGTGATGCTTCCAACTTTGTCGCTGGCTTTTTTTTTTTAACAAGGTTTGCCGCCTCAGCTCTTCAGCTTGACAGCTGAGCCCAAGGGAGCTTTGTGTGTGTGTTTAAGTAAGATCTTAATCCTTTCTGAGTGGCATTAAAGTTGTCATCAGTAGAGCGGGGCAGCAGCAGCCCTGTAAACAACGGGCAGGCAGGGATCCTGAGAGGAGCTGAAGTGTGGTCTCAGAAACCAAAGAGGAAAGGGTCCCCCCCGCCCAACGCACACACGAGGCTGGTCTGCTAGTTGGTGAACCCCTGGCCTGGGAGATTCACCCAGCACCCTCTCCTTCGCCCCACTCTGTGCCGAGGCGAAAAACTCTGGCCACCTTGCACAGCGCCCCTGCAAGCCACTCCCAGAATCCAGCACCGACTGCATCCTTGAACAAAGGTCTAATGAGCATCTCCATGTGCCAGACTTCCTCGGCCGCCCACACACCCCCTAGTCCTGACATCTGGGGATTTGTAGCCCCATTTTCCATACCTAAATACCCAGAGACCCAGATGTTAAATGGTGAGGAGCAGGGAAGACACTCGTAACACTTGCTGTTAGTATTCAATTAGACAGGAGTGCCAATAACCTAGAAGACCGAAATAAGATTCGAAATGACTCAGACCTCACCCAAACCAGGTGACACGCAGTGGGGAGACAGCACAGGCATCACCTCCCGTGATGCCCCTGCAGAGTGGGAAGATTTCAGACAGAAGCAGAGCTCATCAACCCAGTGTGAGCGTGTGGGGCTGTGTCATAAAGCAGGTGACGTGCGCTGTTCTGTCTGAGTCATCGATTCAGGCCAGAGGGTACTCTGGTCACCACAGATCATGTCATTGATATCTGGAATTGAGTTGATTGATCTGCCTCTGCTGCACACCCTCTCCTCCTCCTCCGCGTCCCTCCTCCAGAGGGGACCCCGTTACAGACAGACAGCCCTCTACTGGACAGCCGGGAGTTCTCAGTGCCCACTGTGTGCAGGCCGGGTTTAATCCTCACTACAACCCCACCAGGCGGGCATGGTGACTCTCTCCTTGGCACAGATACAGAAATCAAGCCTTGGAGGGCTAAGAGACTCGCCCAAGAAGACACAGCTTATAAGTGGTAGAGCTGGGCCCACACCCAGGTGTTTGACCCCCAAGGCTGTTCTGTAATCCACTACCATCCGGCCAGGTGCAGTGGTTCACCCCTGTAATCCCAGCACTTTGGGAGGCTGAGGCAGGAGGATCACTTGAGCCCAGGAGTTCAACACCAGCCTAGACAACATAGCAAGACCCCCCATCTCTATAACAAATATTAATAAAAAAGTTAACTGGGCCTGGTGGCATGCACCTGTAGTCCCAGCTACTCTACAAGCTGAGGCAGGAAGATCGCTTGAGCCCAGGCGTTCAAGGTTGCAGTGAGCTATAATCATGCCACTGCACTCCAGCCTGGGCAATAGAGTGAGACTCTGTTTCTAAAAACAACAACAACAACAAAAACCCAGTATCTTAAATATCTCACCAAGCTTTTATTATAGATCATGTGGATTATAAAGCACGTGTGCATCCGCAGAGCCTAGCACAGGGTTCGGCATATGTTAGGCAATAAATATTTGTAGAATAAATGAAAGAATACATAAACAGATAAAGTTGCATTGCTGAAAGATAGATATTTTGCTGATTTTTATTGGGATTTTTTTTAAAGGCCAAGGGAGATGTTGGAGAACACCTGCTTTTAAATTTTCCAGGCTGAAACTGCTGCAGCTGTGCCTGATGGCAAAGGTACCAGTTTGCCATCCGCGTGCTGGTGTGGACGTAGAACGTTTTTTGGAAAATTCATAGCCCTGACTAGAACTAGTCCCTGGGTCTGCCGCTCTGCAGTGGTGTGGTGTGTCACTCCAGTGAGCCATTGTCTCCTGGGCCTCTGCCCCCACTACCTCCATGGAATTCATTCTGACTGAATCTAACTGTCATCTGTCAGGATAGGTTCATACTAGCTCGTGAGGGAGTCCCGCCTGGCCTGCACTTGCTGCCCTGGGACAGTATTTATATGTCACATCCCCAGGTTTGTTTTTGGTCTCTCCCAGTCGCTCTAGTCCAGGGCTCCTCTGCAGGAACTTGAAGAAAGTCTTTATACAATAGATGGAGGGCAAAATAGCTTCCAGATTCTAGAACCAAGATCTGAGCCTCAGCCCCTGGATCTTAGGCCAAGACTCAGATCATTGCATTTCTGATCTGGAAGGAACCCTGGAGGTCCCCTCCAGTGGGTGGCAAACTGCTCCCCAGGCCCCATTCCCACTCAGCCAGAGCTGGTGCTCTGCTCCGTGGGTTAGGGCATTCGAGGAAGGTTTCCTTTGAATGGAGGGTTTTGCTGCTCAAAAGTTGGAAAGCCTTAGACCTCGTTTCACAGATGTGAGAACTGAAGCCCAAAGAATTCAGGGGCTGTGCCCAAGGTCACACAGCTAGCCAGCCACGCCCCCTTCCATACTCTTGCCACAATCCCTAACTGAGCCCTGACTTGGGTCAGGGCCCTGAGTCATGGATAGGGTGAGGGAAAGGTCAGTGTGTGCAGGCTTGACCCTGGCGGGGGCCTCTCCCTACCAAGGGCTGCCCTGGCGCCTTCCTGCCCCTGGTGGACCACGCTGGGGCAGTTTGTATGGACCTGCTCTGAGCAGAAAGGCTGGCCCAGGGCTGCCGGGGCTTCCTCTGTCCAAAGGGTAATTAATGAGGAGCAGCTCGCAGCTAGTGGCAGCTAGCCCTCCACGCAGCCCTGCAATGCAGCCTTCTGAGACAGCCCGCCAGGAGAGCGTGGGAATCCTTTGTCATGCAGATCCCGCTGCCTGTTTGCCACCCTGGGATTTTTTTCTTGTTATATACGGCTGACCCTGTGGCTAGGCAGTAAAAAAGTAAAAAAAAAAAAAAGAAAGAAAGAAAGAAAGAAAGTTATCTGACAATAGATCAATACCTAATTAAATCCAGAGGGAAGGCATGAAAGATTTATAGTTGCCTGGGGAGGGGAGAAGGCGTTGGGAGTCCTCAGTTCATGACAGTTTGTTTTTTTTCTCAGAGATTACGTACCCCCTTGAGACCAAGAATTGGTTGTGGGGATCTCTTTTTTGAAGGATCTCCGTGAATGGAGGAGCCTCGACAGAGGTGGGGGCGGGGAGGTGGGTGGTGGTACAGGGCTCTCCAGCCCGGGTTGTCAGGTGCTCTGGGTCCTGGGCTGGGCCCAGCCTCCCCCTCAGACCTGGATCCTCCACCCCCATAGAACCTGCAGAATTCGACTTTCTGCCTATCCCTCCTCTCTCCAGCCGCTAATTGGCTCATGAGCCTGCGGGCATTTTCCAATGGTGATTTCTGCACACTCACCCAGGCCAGCCACCTCTCATCCTCAGAGCCCTGGGCTCTACCTCCCAGTTATTTTTAGTCTCCTGTGTCCTTCCCTGGAAGCCAAAGCATTGATCACACTTAAATGAGACCAGAACAATAAATTTCCCATCTTCTCTCTGCCCAGCTTCCCTCCCAGGACACAAGTTTGTCATCCCCCAGACCAAGCATCCTAGACCCTTCCTTTCCCCCAGAGGGTATGACATCATCTCTCTCTCTCTCTTCCCCGTGACTTTTCAAGGACATTTTTGCTCCAAAGGAGCCCTACTCCAGGAGATCCTGTTGGCCTTTTGCGATTTAGCTCAGCTGGAGGAAGGGTGGGGAGGTAGGGAGCAGCTGCCAGAGAGGCCAAGGGCACAGGCTGTGGCAAGGAACACAGGGTTCGTCTCAGGTCGGCCTGGACTCACATCCCGGCTCCAGCACTTCCCACGAGGGGACTCTGGGCTCAGTTTCCTCATCCCTGCAATGAGGTTACAGGCATCTGCCTCGAAGGGCTGTCTTGAGGTTGGAGGGAAGAATGAACGTAAAATGCTTGCCCAGGCTGACACCTGGTACCCCCTAAGTAGCAGCTGCTTCTGCGATAACCACCGCTCCTGGTTTTGTTATTGCTCTAGAATCCTGAGAGCACAGCGTCAGACAGAGGCAGGCGCTCTCTGGGTGGTAGTCGGAGTTCTACTTTGGGCAAATCCCTTCCCTTCTTTGAGTCTCTGTTTCCCATCTGTAAAATAAGAAGGTTGCATGAAATGGTTCTTTCAGCCATACATCAATCCTCTCTGAAGTTGCATGGGAAGCTCCAAGGCAACGTGAACTCAAAGGAGGAAGAGAGGGAGCTCCTTGCTCTGGGGTCTTAGCTCCAAGGCTGCGGAACCCAAGGCCCGGGGCTGGATTGGGGGAGCCGAGTCCAGCATTCCTGAGAAATCTCACTGTCTTTCTGTACCAGGGTCCTTGGCGGTGTCTGTGGCTGACATGACCGCGCCGGTCGTGGGCTCTTCCGGAGGGGTGTATGCTCTCGTCTCTGCCCATCTGGCCAACATCGTCATGGTGAGCACCTCCTGTTGCCAGCGTGTCTGTCTTGGCCTCTCCTCTGCTGTCACTGGACCTGGGCGCAGCCCAGGCCAGTCAAGCACCAGGCAGACCTGGCTGGGAGAAGAGTTCACACACCCCCCTCACCCTCTGCAGGCCCATCCCAAAGAGACCCCTTCCACATGCCATTTGTGTCTTCTCCAGCCAAGGCTTGGCCTATGAACGTGCCATCTCCCTGTTCGACCTCCCACTCGGTGACTTTAAAGAGTGTTAAAATTTGACCACTGGCGTGCGTGGTCATTGGAATTCCTTGTTTGTCATAGATTGTTAAAAGTAAAAGGACTTTATCATGCTTTAAAAAGGGCTGTAGTGAAGACAAAAAAATAAATAAATAAAAGGGCCTTAGAGGTGATCGCACCAAAATTCTCAAATAGGAAAGGAGGCTCTGAGAGGTTAAGTGATTTGTCCAGTGTCGCACTCAAGTTTGTGGCAAAATCAGTACTCACATCTCCTAGCAGTCATTCAAGTGTTGTTCCCCTGCACCAGCCTCTCGCAGTGGTAGGACACCATTCCGTTTCTCACTCTTCTTGGCCGGCAGCCGGGCAGCCTAGTCCGAACCCCAGCTTCCCGCTTCCTAAACACTGATCCTGGGCAAATTACTTAACTGCCTGGTGCCTCAGTTTCTACATCTGTGAAATGGAATGATATGTAATAAATGAGACAAAGCGAAAATAATCACTTAATATAAATGTTAATTTAATTCCCTATCCCTCACAGAAGAGGCCAGGGTGGGCTCAGACCAGACAAAGCCTTGAAGGCAAGAAATTGGGATGGATCTGATAGTCTTAGAGGTTGTCAAAGTCCTTGTTTTGAAGGAAGTCTGAAGTTGGGAGGCTAAAGGAGGATCACTGGCTAAACCCGCCTGATGCCCCTGCTGGCCTGGAGCCGTCTCCCAGGTACTCATCTGTTTCCCCAGTATCTGGTGTAGGGCTGGGCACATGGTGCCCACTAAATTCTGGTGAAGGAAGGAAGGCGGGCAGGAAGGAAGAAATGAACAATGCCCAGAGCAGGCATTGCTTCTCGCTGGGGTGCTCTTGTTCTCCCGGCTCCTCTGTCACTGTGTCTGCCCAGCGCTCAGTGATCGGTTTTTGCAGCCCTTAAACTCTCCCATGTTTTTCTTCTTCATCAGTCCCACTCTCACCTGCGCTACGCCCAACCCCGTCCCTTTTCCTTTCACCAAATTCCCATGCGTACCCTGAGAGAGAAGAGAGAGCAAGCACAGAGGCAGAGAGGGAAAGAGAGGGAGAGAGGCAGACACTGAATGCCTGTCCGCGCTTGCTCCTGGCCTGAATTTTGGCAACTTCAGGTGAGTGCTCAGAGAGAGACCGCGGCGTCGGGAAACACGTGGGAGCGTGAGAGTCTGAGTGTGCGTGTGCAGATGTGTGTGTTTACGCACACGCACCGCTCGGTCTGCTGGAGACCCGAGTGCGTGGGCTGCCTCCCATGGCCCTTTTAAATGGGTCATTCTGTATCAGTGCCACGTCTTTCCCCAGACACAGCTTTTCCTCCGAATTCTGCCTGCTCCACTCCCCCCTCCCCCTGCCCCAATTCCTTTCTGCAGGGGAAGGAAACGATAACCTCCTCCCTCTGTAGATCTGCCCAAGAGTGTGTGTGTGTGTGTGTGTGTGTGTGTGTGTGTGTGTGTGTGTGTGTGTGTAGTGGTGATGAACAAGCACAACTGAAAGGGAAGAAGCACAACTGAAGGGGAAGAAGATACAACAGAAGTTCACACGATGCCCCATTCCCACTGCCCTTCCCATTTCTCGGGAGACAGCCTGATGCCCGGCAGCTCCTGGTGAGGGCAGCCCACCCAGGGACGGCGGGCTGGGGTGTGTGAGGGCAGGGAGGTGTGAGGGTGGTTGTGGCTTCTTCTGGCCAGTAGCCTGTGGCCTGTGGCAGTGGCAGTGAGCTGCCCCATCTGATGACCTGGTGCCTTCCCAAATGCAAATGGCTGTCCCTGCCCAACTGGGAACATGACGTGCAGGTAGTCCTTCTCTAGAAAGTTGTGCGGTACTTATTGACAGTGAAAGAAAACTCATTTTCTCACTAGAAAGGTCGGTTTCCCCTTGTCAAGAGGCCACTTTTACCCAAATTAGCTCAGTGCCGAGTAATTCAGAGATGCATTGGGTCGACCCATATGAAATCGCCATTTCTGTGGGCCATGAACATTTAAATATTGGCAATTTCATATGGTTCGATCTATATTGTTTTCTTTTTTTTTTGAGACGGTCTCACTCTGTTGCCCGGGCTAGAGTGCCGTGGCGTCAGCTTAGCTCACAGCAACCTCAAACTCCTGGGCTCAAGCGATCCTCCTGCCTCAGCCTCCTGAGTAGCTGGCACTACAGGCATGAGCCACCATGCCCGGCTAATTTTTTTTTCTGTATGTATATTTTAATTGTCCAGCTAATTTCTTTCTATTTTTAGTAGAGACGGGGTCTCGCTCTTGCTCAGGCTGGTCTTGAACTCCTGAGCTCAAATGATCCACCCGCCTCGGCCTCCCAGAGTGCTACGATTACAGGCATGAGCCACCGCACCCAGCCGATCTATATTGTTTTCAATTACAAAATGAAGATTTGGTCTGTGTGTGTGTGTGTGTTTGTACAATAAAGCACCTCATCAGAACAAAAGGCAGAAGAAGCGTGGACTTGACAGTCAGGAAATCTGCACTTGAGTACCAGTGTCACCATCTTAATAGTATACATCTGTTACCCTTAACTGCTTGGGGCCTCAGTCGTCTCCTCTGTAACCCCATTTCACAAGGTGGTTGTTAGGAAGACATGAAAAAATGGACATGATTTCCATTTCCATATGGCAAATCACCATACAGCTGTGAGACACTATGTACATATGTATGTGGGCAGGTTTATAAATATTTGTATATGTAATTTTTTCTCTTTATAAATTCTGCCTCATATCTATGCAGAGAACAATCAGAAAATATGTTCCTTTTGCATACATCATAGAAAAGTGTTTAACACTCTGCTTTCAGGACAATTTAAATGAGAGATTCTGCCTTCAGTGAAAATATGTCTTATTTTTTGTAGAAACACATTGAGTTGCAAAAAGCTTGCAATTTATTTATATCAAGGAATTAAATTCAGGAAATATTTCAACAAAAGATCTGGAATGCAAAAAGACCTACCATCAAGACTTTTTATTTTAAACACTAGCAGTATAAAGGATACGCCTAATTGAATAATCTATTAATTGCCTCCTGAGGGCCTCATAGGCCAGAGTTCCATTTTTAAGTATACGAGATATTTACTTACATTTTGCTCTATATGATAGATGTTTCCCCAGGGTTTGAGATCTGAATTTTCACAAATTGAACCATATCATCAAAGCGCACGGAAAGATTGTTGTCTAAAAGACACAAAAGAATTCTTTTATAAGGTTGACTTTATTAAGTAAAAGTCCTTTTGTAGGGCAAATAATCACTCCCTAATTTATCTGTGTCAGGCTTTCACGTTTCCTGTGGTGAGTTTTCTTGAAGCCATTTGACAGGAAGCTGTTTCTACCAGGGATATATAAAGCTGTATTGGAATGGAAGCTGCCTGCCTGGGTTTCAGCCGCTGAGCTCTTAACTGGGGTGGGGGGTGAGGAAGATGCGGAGGGGACTGGTTACCGACTTGTTTGCTGTGGGTGAGTTACCATCTCACCCTGCAAGGCTCTGGGAGAGAATGAAATCAAAGGGCCCGCAAAAAGGTTTTTATTCCCCAGGGGCCCAAGGGCTTTTCAACATTTATAGCCACAGCAGTGCTGGCTGTGTGTGCAATTTTTTCTTCTCTCCTGTTGTTTCAGTGCACCCGTGTTTTCGGAGGGAATAAAGGATCTGGAAAATAAGGCAGCCGGTGGGAAGGGGTGACTTTCTAGATTAACCCCTCAGCTGTTGGGAGGCGGGTTATTTACTGACAATTTGCTGAGCTTTGTGGGCATCCGGGGCGGACAGCACAGGCAGACAGAGTGTAATCGGCCTCTGAAGTGTGCGTGGACAGAGCCCTGGACTAGGAACCTCGTCCGCTCGCCGTTCACTCACTGTGACCTTGAACTAGCCCTCCTGGATGCTCCGTGTCTTCTTCCCTAAAGTGTGGTGCAGAGGGTTAGACTGGATCAGCTTGGCAAACTCCAGCGCTTTCAGGGGCCAGGCAGGTGTCGTAAACTCATGAAGCTGGGCTCGGAAGTGCTGTGGCAAGATTGGAGCGTCCTGGCTCTGGCCAAGGTCATTCAGATTCAGAATTTTTATTTATTTATTTATTTGAGGCAGAATCTTGCTCTGTTGCCCGGGCTAGAGTGCTCTGGCATCAGCCTAGCTCACAGCAACCTCAAACTCCTGGGCTCAAGCGATCCTCCTGACTCAGCCTCCCAAGTAGCTGGGACTACAGGCACGCGCCACCATGCCTGGCTAATTTTTTCAATTTTTAGTTGTTTGGCCAATTTCTTTCTATTTTTAGTGGAGACAGGTCTCGCTCTTGCTCAGGCTGGTCTCGAACTCCTGAGCTCAAGCGATCCTCCCGCCTCGGCCTCCCAGAGTGCTAGGATTACAGGCATGAGCAACCATGTCCAGCCCAGATTCAGAATTTTTAAAGCCACTCTGCAGGGCAAACTCACCACCTTTGCCTGAGGTCGAGACATTAATATCAGACACTTACGTGATGCTTGCTGTGTGTTGGGAGGTGTTCTCAGTGCTTTACACATATCGATTCATTTCATCCTCACAACCACCTGATGACAGGGGTGATTGAGATAGGTACTATTGTTGTCTCAAACTCACAAATGAGGACACTAGAGAAAAAGGAATTCTGTGCCACCCCGCCAACGGCCAGCCCAGACCAAACATACAGATGGTGCTTTCTAAGATGGTGCCCAGAGGGGACGCAGGGAGCTCAGCTAAAGGAGAGAGTGGTTCATACGTTTGAGCCCACTCTGCCTGATGTTGTCACTAGAACACAGTGAAAGAGATGTACCTTCAGATAAGATAGCCAGAGGGTTTTTATGAGGAAGGGGGATATTAGAAGTGTTCTCTATCCCTTTTGCCTGTATTGTGCTAAATGTACACAACATAAAATTTGCCACCTTAACCATTTTAAGTGTATCGTTCGCTGGTATTCAGAACATTCGCACTGTCATGCAGCCATTAACCACCATCCACTTCCAGAACTCTTTTCCATCTTGTGAAACTGGAACTCTGAACCCACTAAACAATAACTCCCCATTCCCTCCTCTCCCAGCCCCTGGCAACCACCCGTCCACTTTCTGTCTCCTTGCATTTATTAATAACTACTTTAGGTACCTCATGTAAGTGGAATCACACAGTATTTATCTTTGTGTGACTGACTTATTTCACTTAGCATCACATCCTCAAGGTTCATCCATGTCGTAGCATGTGTCCGAATTTCCTTCCTCTCTAAGGCAGAATAGCATTCCGGTGTTTGTACATATCACGTGTTGTTTATTGTTATTCATCCACTGATGGACACTTAGGTTGCGTCTACCTTTCGGCTATTGTGAATGCTGCTGCTGCGAGCATGAGGGTCACTTTTAGGGAGAATTACAACCCATGGGTGGCACCTGGCAGGAAGAACTTCTCAGTGGTGAGACTCCTTCCCAGGCTGCCCCACTGGGTAGTGAGCCCCTCATCTCAGGGGCTGGAGGGACATCTTGTTGGCTACTTGGCAGTGAGGATATATTCTTGGGAAGAAATGTCCTATCAGGTGATTCTCAGGGTTCCTCCCATGCTAGGGTTTCGTCCTGGAGAGGAGCCGAGGGGCCGCCCACCACCAGCTAATTGAGCTGGCTCTGACTGGGCTGCCAGACCCAGTGGAGGGCACCAACTCCTGTTTGTTCCTTGTCCCCTGGCAAGGCTCCTCTGTGGACGGACACCAGCAGATGACAGCGTTATCCTGCCATCTGCTTCTTAGCACGGAACATGTGAGCAAGCTCTCTGCCTAAAGAGGGGCCGTGGGTTGCCCACCTCACCGTCTGTAAAGAAGGGGTTGCCGGTCACTGAGGAATAATGGAGAAAGGGGGTGGGGGCGCCAAGAAACTGAATGCCACAGGGGCTTCTCATTTTTGGCAGCTTCCCTGTGTCCTGCCTGCTTAAGTGAAGCTTCCGTAGACGTTATTGTGTGTGCCAGTGTTCAGGGCCTCTGTAGAGTTGAACGTATGTTCCCACAACCTCAAAGAAGTGCGAGACAGTGCCCAGGAGCTGGGCCGGGGCCAGGCAGCAAAGGCAGACTGGGTGGTTGGGAGGGAACAGAAGTCCACTGGCTGTGCCCTGCACACTCCTTCCCTGGGACTGATGTGTTCCAGGAAGATTCCAGCCTCATTTCTCTCTCTCTCTGTCTCTCTCTCTGTCTGTATAAATGGAACAGTGCTTTGAATGCACTGCAGTGCCTCTCAAAAGAACCCTGTAGCGAAGTCTTTTGTAAAGTGAAAAATCCTTTTGTAAGGTGAATAATTGTACTGTTTATCTGCTCTGGAGGTTCCAAACTTCTCAGGGGAGAGAGGGAGTCGTTTCAAGGCCGTCTGGCCCACCCCCTGCCCGATGCCTGATTCTCCTCTAGAGCATCCTCTCCGAGTGGTGTGAAGTACCTGTGTGAAACCCTCAGTGGTGGGAAAGTCATGGCCCCCCAGGATGGATCATTCCATCTTTGGACAGCTCTGCTTATTAGAAATGGAAACTTACCCTGAGCTTAAAAAGAAAAATCTCTTTCTGAAGTTTTTATCCATTGAGTCTCTGTTTGCAGGTTACACTGAATTGAATGCCCTTTTCTTATGTTGACTCACTTGGTATTTGACAACAATGAACTTGATCCCTGAGTCTTCTCTTCTTTGGGCCAAAATATCCTGGTTTCCTCATTTGTTCCTCACTTGCAGGATTTGGAGTTCTCCTATGATCCTGATGGTTCTGCTTTGACTTTGCTTGGTTTGCTATCCTGTATCCCTCTGCAACCGTGGAACCCAGCAATTAATGCAACTTTCAGGTGTTTTCTGTCCGTGCCAAGGACAGATGGCTCCCTAGCTCTGGATTCTCTTCCTCTGTTAGTGCAGCTCAAGAGCTCTCACGACAGGAATAAACTAACCATTGCCTAAAATCTCAAAGTTATGTTGGTGTGTTCTGCTACTAAGCCACAACCCTCTCATTCAGGACCTCATGTAGATTATTTTTTTAAATGTCAGGTTTTCTTAAGCAAGATACACCTGCAGCGGAGTGATCTAATCTGGAACTAACAGAACTCTCTCCTTTTCCCTAGAACTGGTCGGGCATGAAGTGCCAGTTCAAACTGCTGCGGATGGCTGTGGCCTTGATCTGCAGTGAGTATGGAAGGGGCAGGCTGGGGGAACGAAGGCCTGGCAGCAGGCCCTGGGGTACAAAGATGGCACAGTCCCTGCCCTTCAGGGGCTATGGTCAAGGAAAAAAAAGGTGGGACATGTTGATAACGTGCAAGAAAGTGTGGATGCTGGCCAGGTGCAGTGGCTCACACCCGTAATCCTAGCACTCTGGGAAGCCAAGGTGGGAGGATTGCTTGAGCTCAGGAGTTTGAGACCAGCTTGAGCAAGAGCAAGACCCCGTCTCTACTATAAATAGAAAGAAATTAGCCAAACAACTAAAAATAGAAAAAAAATTAGCCGGGCATGGTGGTGCATGCCCGTAGTCCCAACTACCCGGGAGACTGAGGCAGTAGGATCGCTTGAGCCCAGGAGTTTGAGGTTGCTGTGAGCTAGGCTGATGCCACAGCACTCTAGCCCAGGCAACAGAGTGAGCCTCTGTCTCAAAACAAAAAAAAAAAAAGAAAAGAAAGTGTGGATGCTGTGCGAGAAGTCTGTCCCACCATGCTGCTTCCTCAAAGTGCCTGATGACCAGCACTGAGATCAAGAAAAATAGCTTCTTACCTTTTAGGTCAGGGAGTTGATCCTTTGAGATCCCCTGTTGAAAGTCAGAGACCTCGTCCCCAGAAAAACACATATATGCACGTATGCGTGCACACATATCAACACTTGCAATTTTAGCAGCTTCATAAACAGTAATCCAGGAAGCCCTATGAACAGGATATGGTCAGAGCTCTAGTTGTGAGAGGTCAGCTCTGCCTGCAGAGGTCATGCTGAGTGCTAGAGACAAGCAGATATTCACCAGGCGGACAAGGTGCGAGAGAGCATTGGGGCAAAAGTGCGGCATGAACAAAGACACAGATGGGTGAAGGGTCGTGGCCAGCAAGTTGGTTCACAAAACTTAGGAATGAGGTTTAGGACTGTGTGTGATTGTGATTTGTGAACAGAGATAAAGGAGTCAGATCATTAAGGGCTTTAAATGCTAAGAAAAAATATGTACTTCACCCTGAATGCTCTGAGAGGCCACTGGAGGGCTTTCAACAAGAGAGTTATTGACCGATAACCAGAGTTTTAGAAAACCAGCCAGGCTACGATGTGGAGAATGGACGGGGGTTAGGCGTCAGGGGGAAGGGACCAGAGGCCAAAGGGCTCGTTCTGAGATTGAAAGAGATGAGTGTGAACAGAAGCAGCAGAGGTGGGAAGTGAGAAGAGGGAACGCAGTCTCTCGTTCAGTCCTCCAAACACGCTACAAAAGGTATGATTAGGCTTAATTTGCAGGTAGAAACTCAAGGCTCAGAGAGTTACGTTCCGGTGCCCAAGGTCACCCAGCTAAGAGGTGGTAGAGCCAGGACTCAGAGCCAGCCTGCGCCATTTCTAATGCCCCACACCTCAGCCAGCTGGGCCACAAGCACGTTGGCTTTCTCTGCCTGGGCCCGCTACCTGCTGCGTGGGTAAGCAGGAGACAGAGCAGAGCACGCGTGGGATGGACACGGGATGGAGGGGCAGGCCTCACTCACTTCCGTGTCGCTGGCCTCTCACCCTGTGGTTCTCAGGAAATTGGTTTGCCCCCACCCGCTGTGGGGCTCTCTGGATAGCAGTTTCCTGTATGGGGATGGAGGCTCTCTAATCCCAGGAAGGACCTTCCTGCCTTAAACCCGAGGACCCCTTGAGTCAGGGCAGTAGGGCGCAGTGGGGTGGGGGTGGGGTGAGCATAGCTTCTGTGTCTGCTCGGACTCTGAGTTTGTCTGCTTTTGAAGAAGGAAAGAGAAGCATGAGTCTTGCTGTTTTAAAAAATCCAACTCTAAGTATCCTAAAAATGGAAGTACTGTTTCGAAGTTGGAGACCTTTGTCTTTCAGGCCTCCGTTATCCGTTATCAGACCCAGGGCCCGCTGCGCACAGGCGGGGTGGGGAGGGCCGTGGCCGTCCCTGGCTGCTGCTTCTCTGCCATCTATCGGCCATCCTTGGAGTTGCAGGGTCCAGTCCCGAAGGCCGGGCAGTCCCTAGGGGAATGAAGGTCCCTGGGGGCTCCGGCACCCCTGCAGCAGTCAGGGTGGACAGGGGTGCACTGGCCAATCCCGTAGTAGCTGAACAGATACACAATTCCTCTCAATGGGCTTTCCTTCAGGCTGTCAAATTTGCCTTGGTTTCCTCATCTGTAAAAGGGGGTAAGTTGCCATTGATGTTTTACCAGTGCAGCCTGGTACACAGAGGCCGAGGCTTTATGCAGATGGGCAGATGGGGAAACTGAGCCTCCAGGGCCCACAGCGTGACCACAGACGTGTGTGCAAGGGCCTCTGGGCTTCTGCACGTGGTGTCCCCTCTGCCTGGAACGCTCGTCTCGGGTGCGGTCTCCTTTCGGCGAGGTCCGTCTCAATATTCAGACTCAGCTCAGAGGTCACCTGTTTAGGGAGGTCTTGCCTGACTCCCCCAGCCGAGGAATCCCCCTCCTTGTGCTGGCATTGATGCTACGTCACCTATTGCTGCCCCGCGGATGTGTCTGTTCTTGAAACTTTGTCACACGTGTGCTTGTTTACTGGTCTTTTGCCAGACCCGGTAAGCTCCAGGAGAGCAGAGGGTTGTCAGTCTCCTTCGCGGCTGTGTCCCCAGTGCGAGAAGGGGGCTGGGGGGCGGGTGGAGTGCAGGCCTCTCCCTCGGCCCCTCCCAGGGCCCTCCCGTGACTTCTGTCCACTTCCTCCCCTCGCAGTGAGCATGGAGTTCGGGCGCGCCGTGTGGCTCCGCTTCCACCCGTCGGCGTATCCCCCGTGCCCTCACCCGAGCTTCGTGGCGCACCTGGGCGGCGTGGCGGTGGGCATCACCCTGGGCGTGGTGGTCCTGAGGAACTACGAGCAGAGGCTGCAGGACCAGTCGCTGTGGTGGATCTTCGTGGCCATGTACACTGTCTTCGTGCTGTTCGCCATCTTCTGGAACATCTTTGCCTACACCCTGCTGGACCTGAAGCTGCCACCACCCCCGTGAGGGCTGGCGGCCCGAGGTGGGGGAGGGGAGGGAGAAGCAGCACCCACAGGGCTACCTGTGTGCTTCTAATCGTCACCAGCTCTGTGAGGATGGGCAGGCAAGGGCAGAACAGCGGGGCTGCTGTAATATTTGTGCTTTTGGACAGACAGTGAACTCTTTCCTGAAAGGCATCTGGTGGAGGAGTTGGATGTGGCTGCCATCGTTTTTCTAGGCTGTTCTGATGACATCGGGCCGGAGCAAAGGCCTGGGATGGAGTGAGTGGCCCTCCCCCTGGGCCGGGCTTGTTCCATGTGACCAGAGGCCCCTCCTGCTGCCACAAATTGAGCAGCGGCCTTCTCCTCCCTCACTCTCAACCCTGAGCAACCCTAAGCAACGCAGGAAGGCCCGAGAGGTGTCATTGCCAGGCAGGCCTTTCTTCAGCCCAGAGATGACTGCAGGCCAGGCAGTGTCCCTTCTACAGCTGCTGGGTCTGGAGCTTGGGTGAGAAGGGGGCCTGTGGTGGACATGTTGGCTTTGAGCTGGCCGAGACCCAGTGCTGCCCTCCTGGGCCTGTCGGCGGGCACTGGGGCGTGGCCTCTAGTGCCTGGGCTGTGCAGAGTATGGAGGTGCTGTAAGCGCCACGCCCCACTCTTGCCCTGGGGGTACCCAGTGAGAGGGACCCAAACGGGGAATGAAGTTCACCCCAAGTCCCTCCCTGGGAAAGACTCAGGACCAACCTTAGACTTCTCCCTCCCTTTCTTCCAGAAAGTTGACATCTCAAACCAGTGCCCAGCCTCCCTGCTCCGCCTTGCTTTTAGGGTCTGTTTCTTTCCTTCCACTGCCCTGGCCCTACTTTGTGCCTCTCCTTTGGTTATGGAGACGTGTGTGTGTGTGATGGGAAAGACAATGTGCGGCCAATGGGAGCCTGCAGAGGGGGCTAAGGGGGTGTCCGTGAGAGGAGAGAAGGTGCTGAGCGATGGTAGGGTGTGGTGTTCTGTGGTGCTGAGTGTCCTTGCTTTTGCAAAGCTTGCCCCCTTTCTTGTCTCCTGTCTTCCCCAGGCACTTCCCTGAGCATCAGACTAGTAGAGACTTGTCTGCTGGAGGGAGATCTCGGGCCCTTCCAGGGACCCTTGGGATGCTGACGTTTTTCTCACCTTTGCCAGGTTCTGCTCTTGCTTCCCTCTGAGATGGCCTCCATGTCTGAAAAGGTTCTATCCTGTCTTCCTTAGGAGAGGAGGAGCCTTGAGGATGAAAGAAAGGCTGGGACAGGAATATTGGGGCCTTGTGTCCATTTGAGTTGGGGGGACAGAAGGCTGCAGTAAGAGGAATTCCAATTTAGATGGGAAACTTTGCTTCTGGAGATGAATTGCTGGGTGCGTGGATGATGGTCAGAGGCGACAGCAGCCAGTAGACTTGGAGGCTTAGATGTGGGAGAGAACTCAGAGATTACCAAGTCCACCCCCACCCATTTCACAGGTGGAAAAATGAGGTCACAGGAATGACCCCCAGCAGTAGGTGGTGCAGGCTCCGCATGGAGGGTGGGAGGAGGATGACCTTTGACAAAATATGTCGCCCCTTTATACTATTTTGGGACTCCCAGCCACCGGCAGTCCAGAAGGACAAAGAACCCCAGGCCTGGGAGGCGGAGGGCTGGATCTGTGCAGGAACGAGAGCAGGAGTGTGGGAACTGTCACCCACCAGTTTTATGCCTTCCCAGGCCCCTGAGTATGCCAAGGTCCAGAGTCAGCCAGGCCAGGCATTTGGGGGTCTTGGGCCACTGTGGCTTCCTGTCCCAGTGATTACATGTAAATGGGCAGGGTCTTCCCACCCAGGGACACACCCACTCACATCCAGCCTATGCCAGGCCCTTCCCCGTCTTTGCCTAATGCTAAATAGATTGTCCTGGTCTCCATATATGTTTCCTAGGGTCATGCTACCTTTGTGCCAAAGCTATGCCAAGGACTGCCAGCCCGAGGCAGCCTGGGCCCAGATCTTTAGTGGAGTTGCGTCAGCCTGGGACATCTTGTGGGCCCTGCCTGCCATTCTCTGCCATAATGAGAGAAAGGTGTAGATGAAAGAGTCAGCTTCTTAGGAGAGAAGCTCTGAGGCTATGGAGCTGGGGGCTGAGAAGACTTGGGTAGGGATAGGGAAGGGGCCAGGACTTCGCTGCCTCTGCCATGGGCTGCAGCCCTGGCTAAACTTGAGTGGGGCTGTCCCTTCCCAGAGGGGAAGGGAGTCCCCTCCAGGTACCTGTCCCGGCACCTGGGGTCTCTGGGATATGGGGGAAGCAAGCAGAGTGCCACCCCTGTCTTTGTCTGGTGTGGCCTGGCGAGGGGTCTTCCTCTCTCAGGGGTGAGAAGGCAATGAACTAGAAGACTCCAGAAAGCCCTCTGAGAAGCACCCAGTTCCCTCAGGGTTTCTGATGGAAGGCTGTTACTGAGAAGGATGGCCTGATGCAGAATTGCGTGCTCCACCCTGTTAAGTCTGTCCTTCCCGATCTGGACAGGAGGAGGAGCCTCAGCTACTCCTCAGGCCACCAGCCCCAGCTGCACACCCACCCCCACCACCCTCTCCCAACCATCACCTCCATCCAAGGCCACAGAGTGGGGACAACAGAGTCACATCACACGACCCAGGCCTCTAGCCAGGGCCAGGAGGCAGCCCTCTGGTCAGCAGGGTTTACTTTGTGGCATCTGGCTTGCTCTTCAGCAGGTCCTACCACCCCCAAGGCTGGCCTCGTCCTCCCTCCCTCCCTCCTTGTCCCAGGCGCTGCCAGCAAGGAGGCTGGTGTGACTCTCCTGGCTGCTGGGAGCAGGTCGGCCTTTCATCCACAGGACCTGGAAAATGAGAGCTGGGGAATCCCCAAACAGCAGCCATAGATAGACTCCCTCGCTGTGGACCAGAGAGGAATCACAGAAACCAGGGAAGGGAAAACAAACCTTCAAAGGAGAGATTTCGCTTTAATGATGCCATTCATCATTCGTTTTTTAATTAGGAAAAGCTCCCTAATGAGGCTCTTTTGCCGGCTAATAGGACTCTCAATTTCCATGAGAACCATTCTTGCCCAGAGGATTAGGGGAGCCATCACTCACCAAGCCAGGATCCTCCCCCAGTGTCCAATTTAATTTGCAAATGCACAATGCAGATTCCTGGGTGCAGTGGAAGCTCTTTCCTGGCATCATTCATGTTGCTCCCAGTGCTGGCTGGAAAGCACCAGTTCTCTGCCTTAAAAACAGTGCCCAACAGTGAACTGCCCCTCCAAGGACTTGAGTAAGTGGAAAAAAAACAAAACACAAACTGCGATGTTTGTTTCTAAATATTTTTGTATTGTGTACATTCTGTATATTTTTGTTGTAACATATTATTTGAGCACAGATTCCATTAAAGATTTCTTTTTCAAGCCATTGGTTATTCAGGAAGTGACCTGAAGGTGCTGGTATCAGGACCTGTGTCGTCTGGGTCTGGGTCAGGGTGGTTGGGAGAGGGTGAGAGGCGGTGGTGGTGGAGCTTTGATTTATAAAATACAGATCGGGGCATTGGTGCTTGGCACCAGTCCTTCTAGCGCCGTGGTTCTTAACCTTTCTTGAATCACTGAAGTCTTTTGAGTGGTTGATCAAAGCTATGATTTCTCTTCACATAAAAATACCCATATTGGCCGGGCACGGTGGCTCACGCCTGTAATCCTAGCACTCTGGGAGGCTGAGGCGGGTGGATCGCTCAAGGTCAGGAGTTCGAGACCAGCCTGA